GGCTGAAGTACAGAAACAAAAATGGTAATGAAATCCATGAATTAATCGCTACCCAGGTCATGCAGCTGAAAGTTCATACCTCATAGTAGTTAACAAGGTGATCTTTCAAATCCTGAGTTGTCACCCCTGGAGCCATTTCCACATATATAGTCGATTGCATACCACGGCTCTGTAGAATAGAAAGTAATGCAGATAAAAACACAGCCTAAGAGGAGGACCTGCTGAGCAGTGCAAACTAGACAAGCTTGAAGAGGGTTCAGCTATTACCATTGGCATAAGATGTGGAGTGAAGCTAACAGTAACCTTTGAATTTGCAGCTTCTGATAATCCTTGTTCGATCTCTGGCACTGTGAACAAAACCAGAACTCTTAATTGTATAAATTACACTTGATAAGATTTTTCCTAAGCAAAACTCAGGAGAGTGGAATTTTTGTCAGCAATGAACTGCCCATTTCGCTAACTTTTTGAAAAATTGAGGTGTACCACATTATAAAAACAGAAGACATAAGCAATTGAACTTCATGCAGAATCAAAGTCACTCAACTAATACCATTAAGTTAAAAGCCTAAGTGTTTCTCCGATATAACCTCTAAACTAAAGTCGATTACAAAATAAATCATCGTATTTATCAAATAATAAATATTGTGTTTGACGTGATCTGATCCTAGTGTAATGGATTAATAATAGTCCTTCATTTTACAGAAAAATACTATTTCCACAATTCTAAGAAAGAATCATGTTATTGCTATTTCAAAAGCCAGATGAATTTTGATTTTTTTTTTTAATTTTATAAATTCTTAAAATATCTTTTATCTTTTCCTGAATTGGTTCAACCTTCAACTTGGTCTGATAGAGTATCATGTTGGGGTGAGATGATATGTCAATATTTAGCAATCTTAATGTAGCACTTAACTTCGTAAATTTCTCCATTTAAGAAATTAAGAAACAGTAACTAAAACAATTCAATATGTGCATAGCTGAAATGGATTACTGACCATGCCTATGTCTGGTTATACCGTAAGAACGAATTCCCTCAGCTATTTCAGTGAACAGATTTGCCTCCTTTGCAGCACGACCTTCAAGATAAAGTATGAGAAGCTGGTTACTACTGCTAAAGTAGTACAAGTGGCTGGCATGACAAGGAAAGGTTACAAAAAAGTACAAACCTGCTCCACTAACACCAGATTTTGAGTCGATAATTATGTTTCTTACTTCAATGAGATTGGACTGCAATAATAAAGGCAGAGGCAGAATCAACCAAGAGCGAGCCATGGACCAAAATAAAGGAAAGGAAAAACTAAATACATTAGCATGAGTACTATAGCATCGGTGCATCAAGCACCTTAAGCTAACAGCAAGGCAAAAAAAATATGTGTTCAAATTATAAAAGGCCATCTTTAGTTACATTTTGTAGAACAAGCTGACATATGGGACAACTATTTTACCGAGTAAAAGGAACTTGCATCCCTCAGCTTATCAGGGAATATCTTGCTAATTAAGAATCAAGATTGACACAAGTAAAAGCCATTTTTCTCAAGAAAGAAGGATCATAAGATTTTCAGAAAATTGTAGCAGACACAACAACAAAACCGACTAGTCAAAGGCACTTTCTACAAGACAGACCTTTTAGTTCACCTATATTAGCAACTTAAAATTTAGTCAGGTATTGGTTCAATTGGTATCTGTTATAAAAATGGCTTCTTGACAACGTAAAAATGTACACAAATATTGAAATTTCTTACCTAGGATGTTTCAAACTTGCTTTTGATTATGGATCCATTGAATATCGTTATAGATTGGAGATTTTAAAGGTTAAAAAGGACTTAATTAAAACTATGAGATGAAGGCCAATAAAAGGTTATTTCCGAGAAGCTTATTTTCTTCTTATAATTTTAGAATGAATTATTCATTTAAATTTCAGATTATCCAACAAAGGAGGCCTATATAACCAGATACTTCCATTGTCAAGAAATCTTGACAAACTCACAATGCGGGCAATAAATATACGCTTTGGTTTTCAACTTAGATGCAAACCTTTATCAAGGGAATAAGAGGAAGTTGAACAGATGTCGGATAACAGCCAGGATTTGCAACCAGACGAGCACTTTGAATTTCTCTCCTCGAAATCTCAGTCAAGTCATAGACTGCTTCTTGCTGGATCAGTCAACAAAATACTCATTCAAACTGCTGAGCTTATATTGGCCACAAGAAGATACTCAATTGGAGGAAAACTAATGAAAGAATTCTCTCATTTTCGCATATGATACTCCAAAATTTTTTGTTAGGACTCTGCTTGTAAACCTTCATATAACACTATATATTTGTATCAAACATGAAGTTCCTTTTACTTTTTCATTTTTCTGGAACGAGGGAGAGAAGAAATCGACTGCTCTACCTGCAAAGTTGTTGCTTTGTGGGGCTGGCCATACCATTCCTCATACTCAGCAATATCTCGCAATCTGAAGTCCTACATGACCATGATGATGATAGTAAGTATAGATTTTTTTTGAGATGCAGAGAAGTATAACTGAAGTATAATCTGAATGCATACCGCAGAAAGATCAACAATCTTTTGATTTTTGGGAAGACTTTTGATAATTTCCTGCAAAATGTAACTAATTAAAAACTTAAATACAAGTCTCAAGATCTCCATTAGAATTTATGATACGCAAAATGAGACCACTCTTCCTTTGATAAGAGGCTGATTGATTTTGGGAAATCTGAGATATGGAATTGCTACAAACCTGAGTTGTACCATGTGGCAAACAACAAAAAATAGCATCCACAACAGAGAAATCTGCATCCTTAACAGCAACCAGACTCGGAAGATCCTAAAGGGGAATGGTTGATAAGGAAAAGATATAGAGGACGTAAAATTAATACTTCATGGTCTAAATTGAAAATGCACAAAAAATATAGAGGAAGTAAAATTAATACTTTTGGGTCCTATATAACATCAATTCAAATTCCAAAAAGCATAAGAAAGAATAGAAGTATGTGAATATGAATATCCATACTTGTGTGACTAGGTGAGGAAAAACCGATTCTATTGATTGGCCAGCTTTCCTGTCAGCGGTCATCAAAGTAATCTGAAAATGTGGATGATTTGCCAGGAGTCTGATGATCTGCAACAAGTTTTATACTTGTCAAGCGAAAATCATAGAATGGAGGGATGGTCATGATACATCTAATGATATATGAAAACAAGAGCATAATGTAACCAAGCAAAAGCACCCAAATGACATGATAGCACGCGCTGCAGAAGGAGAACATTAACTTACCTGGATAAATGGGTACAGAAAAGCGCCATTAACATTTTAGCCATATTGGGTCCTTCAGTTAAATTAAAATGGGGAAAAAGATTATTCTCTCATTTATCTTCGAAGAGTTTTCATCCCATACATAATGCATAACTTTTTCTAATCGTTATCCCGCACATAACACGTAACTTCTAATGCTCAAGAGTAAAACTCTCCTCTCGAGCATATCACGATTTAGAATAATATGTATCTTCTTCCACTATGTAAGATCTCCAAAAACGACTTGACTATCCAGACAAATTTTTAGAAGAAACTGAAGATCCATTTTCCATATCGTTCCTTGATAAATTTCACCATGTTTAATCTCTTTGAAACATTATAAGCAAGAAAAGTGACTTGTCCTCCTAAATATTTGGAACCATTTAAACTACCTTGGTTGTTTTAACAGCACGTGACGATCAGCAATGTAGTGGCAAAGGTTACTTTCCCATCGTAGCGTAAACCACAAACCTTGCACAAGCCAAGTTCATAACAGCTACATTAGCAGAGTGCGTGTTATCAAAGGCGCGGTTAAGTCCTGAAGCGAGGCTCAAAACATTTTGAGTGCTTCTCCTTGCTTAGGGGACGCTTCATTGTTGTCAGCAAGGCTCTAAGGCATACTTTTCCTTGCCAATGAGCATAAGGATAGAAGAGACAAAATTAAACAATTGATATTTCACTTTATCGTAAATTTTCTTCAATTTTTTTGTCCATATATTTGGTATTTATGCTTATAGATATTAGTCATGGATTTCACGTATATATTTGTAGCTTTCTCCATTTGCGTCTTTCTTCATTAAACACACACTTCATTTGCTCTTTGCGCTTAAGGCCCCAACAGACCTTAGAGGTTTTTTGAGCTTCTCGCCTTTGATAACATTGTCTCAAACAATGCTCCAGGTTCCTCATTGACCAAAATCAGAGTTTGTCTTGAAAATGATCTTTTTTCGGTTTTACATCTAAGCATGTTTATTGAGCTTAGTTTAAAAAAGTATTAGGGCAACATGTAGCTCTTGCTAAGATGATAGCAATTTTCAGAAAGCATATGAGATGGATAAAATAAAATAAGGGCAAGAAGCAATCTCTACAAAGTGCCAACTTTGCACTTCAATTTTTTGAATTGCTAAAAAAAACTTATGTTTTCAAATGTAATGAAAAGAAACAATGAATGGCGACAAACAACTACTCACTCTGTTTCAATTTATGTAAACATATGTCCTTTTTAGTTGAACTCTTCAATTTTAGGTTTCCACTATTATCTACAGTGAGAAGTTTTCATAAATTTTCAAGACCACACATGTCAAAAGTATCCTTTTTTCTTAAAATCAGTGTCGAGTCAAATAGATTAACATAAATTAAAACAGAGAAAGTAATTCTTAGTGCACGAGTAAAATAGACATTTATCAGACATCGTCTTACAAGCATAATGTCGGATTGTGTTCAAAGAGTATAACTTTAAGACTTATTTGCAGGCTTATTTCTTTTCAAAATTCACAGAACCAACAGTTACAAATTGAACAATAAACTGAAGCGGGGCCATTCGACAAAGAGCAAGATTAAATTGTACAGACCTCAGTACCAGTGTAACCACTAGCTCCAAGCACACCAATACGCAATTTGTCCAACTTGTTAGCTTTACCCTCCCCAAGCTGCAAGCCTTGCGCTGGTGATGATGTCGCCATCGATGTAGCTCTTATTCTGAACTTCCCAACCTTACTAACCTTCAGTTCCTCCTGCAAATCGCTTCATTAATCAGAGAGCAGGAAAATAGAAAGGTAAATTTCATAAAGCTAACCCTAACTAATTTTGGGATTGGAATTAAATGAATGAGGATCAAAATTGATCATTTAGATTGCTGTACTTAACCTGAATTTTCCAAAGGGAATAAGCTCCATTGAAGTGGCTAGAACTGAGTGCAGCCAATGAAGAAGACATTGTAGATTCACACTTCCAGTATGAATTATGCAAACTCAGGAAACAGAAGAGTAAAGGGTATAGAACTGTGATTCTTGACCCGACTCCACCTGACCCGACTCCACCTACTCCAATTTAAGACATGTGATTCTTGAGAACGTGGGTATAGGCTTATATTATAGTATTGGGATGCCACTCCACTCCATTTCCTCTCTCTCCATTTTCTCCAAGTTGTAACCTGAATAAGAGACACATGTCCCATTTTAAAATCATTGATTTAAATTTAACTAATTAAATGAAGGTCTTAATCGTAGTTAGAATAAGAAATATCCCATATATTGCTCTCTAAAAATTTCTTAATCCCATCATTTTAGCAACACCTTTTCATATCCATAAGAAAATTAATTTTTTTTTCGTCTCTCTTCCCGAGTTTCTCATTTTTCAAAGTTCGGACCCTTCTGTTGACTATATAGTTCACTCTATCCCCTCTTTTGGCGATATATTTCACGTCTTAGGAAAAGTTTAGTTATTAATAATGCACGGGATCGAATTTTCTAAAATTTCGATTAATATAATTGATTCAATACTTAAAATATAGGGGGGGGGGGGGGGGTAGGAGGGTTTGGCGTTGGTAAGAACCAAATACAAAAAAGTTATTTTCAAATTCCACAATTTGTACCGGTTCCATTTTTTTTGTTATCAACATCGCTTATTAACCGTCAATATTGATCAATATCCATGAAAAACAGAGGAAAAAACACAATATGATGTCAATCATTTACTATTTAGTATCAAAAATCTATAAGCCAGTACCAACATAGATGGCACTTTTTAAGAAAAATAAAAAATAAAGCTAGGAGCGGGATAATAATTTGAATATGTTTGATTACTAAGTGCAGAAAAGAAAATTACTCCATTGCAATTAATAATCATAAATGTACAAAAGAGGAAAATCAAGATGGAGGGACGAGATGAGAGTTTAGAAATATGAAAATATGAGTAATTATGGAAAGGCTCATAAATTTGTTATGAAGATATTTTTTATTCTAACCGTGGTTAGACTTTCAGTTACTTAATTAGATCTAAGCCATTGATTTTAAAATAGGACAAGTGTCTCTTATCTAATTAAGAACTTGGGGAAAATGGAGAGACAGGAAATGGAGAGGAGTTCCATCCATAATATTGTACCATGTAATTGCCTTTGATTGAATACAACACAATATTATTATGAAAAATGTGAATAATTGATGGATAAAAAGTCGAGCAAATCAGAAATAGACTTTTTAATTCATTACTGTGAAGGCATAATGAGTGACGGTATTAATAGAGGGCGAGTTAAATTTAGAATCTCTTGAAATCCATACAGCTCAACAAGAATAGAGCATAATGAAAAAATAGTATCTATATAAGCAACCCTATTAATTAATTAGTCATGAATTTTGTTTTTTCTGGATATACTATTAGTTCGAGATGAACTTTAATGAAGTGATATGATGACGGTCGAGGGGAGATCCATATAATTAATTGTAATTATTGTTGTTGTAATAAAGTTTTTTTTAAAACTCCTTACCATTTGGTGTAAGTGTGCGACACAAGTTCATATTACTTTGGTTTTGTATTATAGCGGAAAACGGAAAACCCTAAAATTATTGGTCAAAAGTATAGTTTGGTGGGGTGAAATATTATGTTTAATTTTGGTTAGTTAGCTAATGAGCCTTGGTTTGCTGATTACCAAATTCAAGTGAGAGGTGTTGACCAAGAAGTCTAAGATTCATATTTTTTATTATTATTAGTTATTGGATACGTGCGTTGCACGTGTATCCGATATCAATCAATACAAATTTTTTAAAATAATTTTATTGTATTAAAGTATACATGAGTGTGATGAGTAACACGAAATTTTAATGCTAACATTATTTGATATCTGCTAAATTTATGAAGTTGAGGCCAGTAAGTGCAATATAACAATGTGTAATGAAATTAATTTTGATGTTATTAGGTTCAAACATGTAATACAATCGTATCTCACGTCTAATATTTTACTTTGAAACGATGTTCTTAGTATATATTTCATTCTCACGTTTCAACTTGTATGTTATGACCATAACTCTTGACATTTATGTAATTTTCAATTTATATTTCGTGCATACGCAACACATATTATCCTGTGAGAATTTTAAAAAGCTTATGCATATAAGACAACAAAATTATTCTTTCAAGAATCATTTGCATTTACCTCAAGGTCTTTTTTCAACTAAAACGAGCAAGCATGACAAATAATTTTATCACTTATTGGAAAGCAACTTTAAGGCATTGAATAGGCTGCTAAGTGGAAGTTGTAAGGAAATTATCCCACCCGTTTCTATACCCATTTACCTGATTCACTGTTGCACAACTTAATTTTATCATTTATTGGAAAGTAAACTTTTGGTATAAAAATATTATTGAAATTGTGTTTAAGGAACTTGAATCTCAGTTTTGGGATGATTTGGTAAAGTTTTGAGGTGGTTTGAATTGAAAATTCGAAGTAAAAACTGAACATGAAAAAAATGATGTGTATCACACTGTGTATTATTTGTGTATCACATATGTATCAATTGTGTATCACATGTATACTTGTGTGCGTGATACATGTGTCGCAGAAGAATTTTATAAACTCGATTCAATTACGAATTTTGATACAAAACCAATTCAAATCACCTCCAATCTTCCTCAAATTTTGTATATTGACTTATCTATATGTTTTCAATGAATTTCAACTATACCCATTGAAAAAGTTTCTTTATTGCTTGGATTTTTGGAATATGTATTTTTATTTTTATTTTGCATTTTATCACATTATTTGCTACCTCATCCATGAAATTTCCTTTCCATCTTGCATCTAATGTTGCTAATAACGCTTAAAAATATGGAAGGAGATTTTTGCATGTGATTCTTTGAGAGAAAGAACCTTATTTATTTGGTTTTTCAATTTTTATATGTACTTGGCTAGTTTTGGTAAGTCTATGACTAATGACAAGAGGTTGGGACATTTGTATAAGTTCCCCTAAAAAAAATTGAAGTAGAGTTTAACATGGAACGAGAAATAATTGTTACGTCCAAATTGTCTTTTTCACCAATAAAACATAATTGTCACAGCACTGTGATTGTACAACATAAACCAAAATGCCATTGTAGAAGTTTACACTTGGAGATTAACAAATAAATGAATTACATATATTACCTAAATACTTTCAAAGGAATATATTACAAAAATCATGGATTTCCATAATCTTCAACTTTTGTGGGGAACTGTATACATATACAAAAGAACATATGAACAAACTGCTAGCAAAAAACTAACACAATGTACAGACAAACTTTGCCTCTTTAAGTTGATAAAGAAGCTTCACCGATCAAAGAAGCTTCACCGATCAAAGACTGTTAGAGGGGAAGATCCTCTGTTTGAAGTCTGTCCATTTTCATCTATTCTTAGAGGGGAAGATTGTGGCATGATCTCAGACAATCGGATTCGTTCATTAGTCATTTTATTCTGGTAAAGGTGAGAGAATTTGTTAGTGACTTGGCATCATTAGTTTGATACAAACTGTGTTTTGAGGTTTTCAATGAAGCAAAATGATTGAAATATTATGAATGTTAGTATGTTACCTTAAATTTAGCATCTTGTAGTTCTCTTTCCAGTGAATTCATTTTGTTTTTGAGCTGCTCAAGTGCTTCTTCAGCTGCTGAGATCCCTATCTCGGATGTTGTAGTTATTCCAGCAGCCTACAGTATATGTTCCAAATGATAAAAAACCAATGCCAATTGACAAAAATCAAAGAACTGTAGCTATAAAACTACATATGTTCCAAATGATAAAAAACCAATGCCAATTGACAAAAATCAAAGAACTGTAGCTATAAAACTACATATCCTTTGGTACTTTAATAAATGAAAGATGAAGTTCTCCTGACCTTCAGCACAGTAGCGCACAGGCCAAGTAACTTCTGCGCCAATTGCAGTCTTTCATCTTCCTTTTCCTGTTGGACAAATTACAAAGTGTTTTAAGTCCTATATATACAACAATAGGATTCTTCTCTCTCTGTCCTAGCATATGTCCACAGTCACATTGGGGTTACTCCTAGTCCTAGGCAACATTAAATTCTGAAGAATACTAACCTTCAACTTGTTCTCCAGTATTTGCTCCTTATCAAAATTAATGTAGGGGCTTCTTCCATTAGTTTGACGGAAGTAAGCCAGCTCTTCCCTGACTCTTGAAAGAATTGTTTCAGCTTTCCGCAACTTAACAATAAGGTCATCATTCTGATTTTTCAGTAAATTGTTCTCTTCCTGTGATGAGATAAACAAGCAGTGAGGATTAGTGCTGTAGCAAAAAAATGCAACTATCATGGCGTTGATCTTCAGAGTCTGGGAAGTCTAAGCATGGTAAAAGGTATGTACCTTTATTTTAGCATGATGGTGGATACGTTGTTGAAGGTTTTGCTGACCGGACAACTTCTTTATATCTGCTTCAAGTTCCATGACCCTCTTCTTATGATTTACATTCTCCATCTGAGAAAATGTCCAGAAAATAAGTGGTCTTTAATATATTAACAACCTGCCGAGGTGTAATTGAAAAAAAAAATTCACCACATTTCCAACCTTTATCATTTCATTTTCAGTTGTAAGCAAGTGATCTCGTTGGTGCAGTTTTTCTAGTGCAATCTGTGCAGCCACCATCTCTGCTTGTTTTCTCTCAATTTCCTCAATCCATCTAATCAACAAAAAAATAAATAAATGAGAAATGCACTTATCCAAAAAAACAACAAGGGTACTCTCAAAATCTAATTGACAATTAATACCCTTTCCTCTCCTCTATGAACTCATTTAGCTGTTGCTTCAGCTTAAGAACCTCTTGCTCCTGCAAACCAAGGAATCAGTTAATAATATTAAATAAGTCCAGACTATAAGTTGGTGATAACATCATCATTACTAAGGTTACCTTGAACTGAGCATCAGCATTACGGAGTCGAGCCTTCTCCGTCAACATTTGCACTTGCTGATTATCCAGCAGAGTCTGGTGGGTAACACACATAAGCAAAAATATAGGTGAAATGGTCAGGTCATGCTAGAGAACTGAAAAAAGGAAATGGCCTTTAGTTTTTAACATTCTCAAGCAAAAGATATAGATTAAGCTAAAATTACCGCGTAGTTATTCATATCCAATTTCAAACCCAATAGATCACGTATTACGTCATGGGTCATGCTTTCGGCAGCAGCTAATTTTGAGTTCAGCATGAATATCTGCAATGAGTTTATGAACACAATTAAGTGAAGGATATTTTTTACAAAAAATAAGTCACGTCGTTATAGGATGTAACATACCTCTTTTTGTCTACTTGCAGCAAGAGCCTCAAGTTCTTGGATACGATGTCTTTCTGCACTATGATCCTCATCCCTCTCAGACATTAACTGTTGAACCAGGCCTATTCCGATGCATTTGAAAGGGGAACCGGAACCCCTAGGCTTTGAAGCATTTTTCTCCAATTTGCTTGATGATAAAGTTGGAGCTTGGGTGGCATGGGGATCCATCTTGACTTTTTCTACCATTGCTTCCAATGCCTTGAACTTTTTTTTACATTAGGTTAAAATCACAGGTTAGCAACCAGCACCAACTATCAGAATCATCAGAATGAATGAGGAATTACCTTTTCCTTATACTCGCAAGCCTGTGCCTCAGCATGCAAATTTAGTTCTGATATATGAGTCTTGAAGTGGGCTATCTGTTAATAAAATGAAATAAAGTTAATCTAACTAGACTGACATTTAATAACGACTGGCTGACTGAGCTTAAAGAACAAAACTTCGTAAAAAGATAATAGAGGATGAAACTCACTTCAGCATCTCTTGAGATGATTTCTCCCTCAAGAAGTTGTATGCGCTGACTGGCTTCTTGAAGATTTTTTTCTTTCTCCTCTAGATGCCTGTATAAATAGAAATCAAAACATTTAGAAACCTAAAAGGGTCCGATTTTTGAGAATTCATGTCACATGGTAAGGTTGTTAGAAACCTTTTCATGTCGACATCACTGCCTTTTACATTGTTCATTTGTTGCTTGATAGCATGAAGTTCCAGTTCAAGCTCCTCCCTCTGTAAACGCTGCCGCTCAGCCTCTCCTCTGACAAATTCAACCTATAAAGTGGGAAATATAATGTTATTAAATGATACATAAATAAATGAATACGTTAAATTTGCAAGAGTGGGTACCTCATTTTCTAGTACATTCACTGTGCACTCTAGTTCCTCTACAGACCTCTCTAACAATGTAACCTCCTCTTCTTTCTCTTCAGCCTGGAGCTTTGCCATCTCTGCCACCTGAAATTAACAGAATATTGTTGTAAGAAAAGGAGGGGGGGGGGGGGGGGGTCGGAAGACGATTGGAGGTCAATAACTAAAGAAAGTATTTTATAACATGACTCCACCTCTTTTGCTTCTATGGCAATTGCTTCACTTTCCTCTGCAAGCGTTTGTGCCACATCTAGCTCCCTTTTCAATCTGACAATTTCTCCATGGAGGTCATCCCTCTCACCAGTAACGTCATTCAGATTTTTCTTCAAGCATTCGATTGAATTGTTCATTTCACTAACAATATCACCAAATTTGGTGAGTTCTATTTCTAAGTTCTCACAAACTTCCCTTTTCTCTAACAATTCCTCCTCCATGGAACATTTTGCTTCGATGGTGTCCTTGGCACTGGCAGCCAGCTCCGAGTTTTCGCTTGAAAGCAATTCTATGTCTTTGCACTTTTGCAAGATATCCGACTCCAAAAGAGCTATCTTACTTATTTTTTCCTGCAACTGAACTTCAAGCGCTTGACCTTTACAAACAGCTTCATCAAGCACAGTTTCCAAAGTACTAATAGAAGCCACCAAATCATCAATTTCATCCTTTTGATCCTTGTGGTTAGACGCCGATTCTTGTAACAAGCTAAGGTCAAATAGCATTCCTTTGATGATGTCATCCTTCCGAACTAACTCATTTTGCAAGGAAGCGCTTTGTAATAAAATCTCTTCGGCGAAATTCTTCAATGATTCAAACTCTTGCAAAAACTTGGATCCCCTCTCAACTTCTTCATGTATATCCTGTAACATGGTATCTAATTCAGCACTTCTATTTTGAAAAGCATAAAATGCTTTACTCCCAATGCTGTTTACTTTGAGCACCATATCGAAAGTGTCATATGTACACTTCTCATGAGATCTGAGTTGGTTTCTCATGGAAGCATTCTCTGCATCCAAAGCATTGATTCTCTCGATCTGCGGTTTCAGATCACAAGATTCCATATCTGCTTTCTTGACCTCCAACTCCTGGAAGAGTAGGCAACGTTCTCCTTTTAACTCTGTTATTTCATGCTGCAGTGCTTCAATCTCCTTTTCAAGACAATTCATTTTGCTAATTTCTGCATCTTTCATTTCCATATCATTCTGAAGTCTACATGATGCAGCTTCCAGCAAGCAGCTTTCATTCTGCAACATCTGGTTTTGTTGGTCAAGGAAGAAGATGCGACTTGAAGAACTTTCAAGGGCTGAGTCCTTAGTTTGTAATTCTTCAAGCAACTTCTCATTTTCAGAGCTAAGTTCCTGGACCTGGGTTGTCAGAACAGTCTTTGCTTCCACCAATTCACCAAGTTCACGTTTCAATGTCTCATTCAAACAAGAAACTTCCATCAGTGAGCAAGTATCTTGTTCAAGAGCGTTATTTCTAGAGTGAACTTTGGCAATCATTGAATTCATTTCAGTAAGCTCAGCCAACATATTCTGATGCTTCATTCCTGCTTCTGCAACTTCTTGCTGTAGGATAGAAACCTCAACCTCCTTGTCAAGTAGGATGGATGCAGTTAATGCAACATCTAGGTTGCCAAAAATGATTTCTCTCTTCAAACTTTCGGCGACTTCACAAAAATGCTTAGTTTTTCTCTCCAACTCAGATATTAATATGGTGCTCTCTTCTAACTCGGATGACAAAATTAATGACTCAAAGCCTTTTGCAAGAAATTCCATTGTCAAACTATCTTCCAGAGATTTCAAGGCTTCCTCTTTGTCCTTCAGCACCCTTTCTTGATCTATAACAGATGTCAAGACAGCTTTGTTGCTGAGATCTATCTCTTTCATTAACTCAACAAGCTCGGATCCCATTTGCTCGGACCTTGCTAACATTGACTCTTCCTGGAACTGCAGATCTAATATTTTTTTCTCGAAGGATCCAAGTTTGGAGGTGAATTCCCCTGCATCAGACTCTTTCCTTACTACGCGATCAAAATTGCTTTTAATGTCAGCCAATAATTTCCCCTTTAGTGTTCTGCACATTTCAAGCTCTTTCTGTGCTTTGATGTTCTGCTCCTTCAACTTCGATATTAATGAGTTAGATTCACTTAGCCCATGATGGAGTAGCCCATTTTCTGCATTCAATCCAGCAGCAGCTTCTAAGAGAATGCCCATGTGACAAAGATGCAAGACAGACAGAGCGCAGTCCTTGACGATAATATCTGACCAGATCTCCTCAAGCCATGACCTCATGCACTTAGTTGATTCATGAAGCTGAGACTTTATGATAAGGAGATCAGTAGTTACAGACTTCAGCTCATCTGTGGAAGTGGTTGCTGTTTGTGAAACAATATCCTCCATCTCCAATACCAGCCTTTGCATCATTGCCAGATCTGACTCAAACTCATGCTCCAGTCTTTGGGAATGCATGTTCTTTAGATCATTAGCCGACTGCAAGCTTTGATTTTCATTAACAAGGATGTCTCTCTGGTCAGCTAAGCTGATCTCCTTCCTCTTAAGCTCTTTAATATCAAGCTTTAAGGATTCATTTGCTATCATCAGTTCATTTATCATGATGTCTGCATCTTTCATGGTGTCTTGGACCTCTTCAAATTTGGCTAGAATGCAGAAAGCTTCCGTAGTTTTCTGGGCCGCCACTGCCTTAGCATCACAAAGTTCAGCTTCAAGTAGCTGCAGATAAGGATTCCAGGAGAGCAGATCAGACTGTGTTGTTGGTTATATCACACTTACTTTTTAATGGCAGGAGTTTGTCCTTTACATTGAATTCTATGCTTATATTTTATAACGCATTATTTATTTCGTCATGATGATTGTTATCAAGGATTATAGTGATAAAATTGTAATATAACAGTCAATAAGATGGATTCCAACATTGCAAGTCATGAGCAGTAAACATATGATGTTTTTATGAGATGGGCGCCTACCTTTTTTTGCTCATACCAGGAGCTGCAGGACTCTTGCACAGCATCTTCTATTTTCTGTAATTTATCATCTACTAACTCCACTTTAAATTCAAGTTCATGTTCAAACTTATCCATATAGGTCTGTACGAGAAGTTACTAGCANCTTCAAGAATGCATGACTCTAGGTGCTGGCTGTGTAGTCTTATCTCAGTACCTGTCTGCAACAATACATTAAAGTTGGATTACAATAATAATACAAACATCACCAGGAACCTACCATGCCACTTAAGAAGCAGATAGACTATAAGAATGGGTAATTTTCAAACATAACGGCGCATAACTTACCCGTGTTTCAAACTTGTAATCAGAAGAAAAAGATGCATCAGCTTCATTGCTAATATCTTTTCCAGGACTTCCACTTCTTTCCACGCACTCACTCAGGTGCGAACGTACTGTTGAAACACCTGCTTGCAGCTCTGTAAGTTTCTCAATCGTTTTCAACAGATCACTTTCTTCAAGCTTTTGTCTTTGCTCCTCAAGAGACTCATTTTGATTCTCTGCAGCAGCGACTACTGAGGCCTGATCACAGAGAATAGCATCCTTCTGTCTGCTTGTTTCTAGAGATTCCTTAAGCTGTGTGTCCTTCTGGCTTAAAGCATCAATATAGTTGGAATTCTGTTCAGACAACCAGTTAACCACCACAAAAGCAACAGTTGCACTGACCGACGCCTTTCTGAGTTGATCCTCCCCATGCTTAATCTTGTTCTCAAGTTCTGAGATGACATGTGCCTTTGAGCTTAACTGGGATGTCAAAGAAAGTATCTCAGCATCCTTTTCACGGCAATCTAGCTGGTGCGCCTCCGTCATAACTAAAGCTGCCCCTCTAAGAGATCTCAACATGGATTCCATATCGTTTCTTTTGTTGAGAGCATTCTCCAGACTCTGATTGAGCTCTTCAATAAATAAATCCTTTTCAAAAATGCATTTTGTCAGTCTGCCAAATTGTTCAGATATCCTACTTCTCTTATCTGGAAATGTACTGGAAATAAAATCCAGTTGCTCACAGGCATCTTTGAGAGCCTCATGCCCCCCACTTACAATAGCTTCAATCTCGCTGTTTACCTGTGCCCATTCTTCAGACATATCTATTAACTCTTTTTCTTTGCCATGTACAATTTCACCAAGTTTTCGATTTTCTTCTGTCATCAAAGACAATTTTGCCTCCAAACTTTTAACCTCTGTTTCCAGCTCAGTTAACCTCTTTGTGCTCTCCATCTCTTTCAAGCTACTATTTCTGACTTCCTGCTGCAGAAGAAGGAGTTCTTCCTGCAAGCATACAATCACTTCAGCAGTTTCTGCCTCAGCCTGCCTACTTATTTCATCCATCGCTTCCTCATTTGAGACTTGAAATTCACAGTCATTTTGGTACCGCCGATTCAACATTTTGGCCTTCTCAAGGGAATCATGCATCTTTTTAAGCTTTGCTTGCAAGGGAGAATCATCACTTTCTAAGAGCTTCGAAGATGAGAGATCTCTCAATTCTTGACGAATCATTTGCTCTTTCAAGGAAGAGATTTCAAGCTCCTGTTTCTGCAGTAATTCAGCATAATGGCTGTTACTGTTTCTTAGATCCTCTACCTCAGTGATTGCTAAGAGATGTTGGGATTCAAGAGCTTCAATAATGGATTTTGCTTCCCTGAGTTCTGCCTGAACATCTTCACATTTCTTGGTCACTAACAGAAGCTGCTCTTTTGATGACTCTAGGTCTTGCATCATGGATTGAGCACTTTGCTCCAATTCATTGCGATGCAACCTTTCTTCTTGAACTATAACTTTCAGAATGTCCAACTCAAGTTGCAAATCCATAATCTCCTCAACTTTCTTCATCATATCCTCTTTCCTCGTATCTTCCTTCTCTTTCTGATCAGCAGTTGTTGATTTGCCATCAAGAGCCAGAGCTTCTGGTATTGACTCCTGAAAAATTATGGTTATAGTCATCCACATAAAGAACATAAGCAAACTTGAGTTATGAAAAAAAAAAGTAAATCACACAATAGAATGTTCAGTGCGATCCTATAAGCAAAATACATGGTCAAAAATCATCAGAAAACAGTAGGAACTTGGACAGACTGTGCTTTAATATCGTGTATTTGATTGGTCAACTTATGAACATTACGTTACCCCAAAAGCTTTTGAGGCTTGAGCGCAACTTCAACTCAAGATTATTCTGTTTTTTCGTGGGATTACTTTGTTCTGGCCAAATTGTGGTATATTCTCATCTCAGATTCATTACTAAGTCAGAAAAAGCATCAGTTTAGTGTAATTCAAATGTCCAACAACTTTCTGAATCATGATAAAAGTCTCTAATCATCCTTCTTCTTCTTGTCTTGTTTGTAGTTATCTAATGACAGAAACATGCTTGTTTGGAACTCAGAAAGAGAATTACCTTTCTGACTTCATTCCCACCATTGTGATCGTTGTCAGCAGAACTGATGCTATTTAATGAACCTCGTAATTCATCTATTTCCCTGAGGAGTATTGAGAGCAAGTTAGAGAGCACTAATAGCTGCAGCAGTTTGAATTTCAATATGTTAAACAACAGGAAAGTCTATAGAAGCTCAGCTGAACAAGACAACACAGATAGTGTTACTAAAGTAAGGTGTTAAAAAGGTTGACTAACCTGCTGAGTTTTTCATTTTTCTCCAAACAACAGTTTAAGTTAGTCCGACATTCCTCCAACTCGTACAAAGTCTTTTTTAACTGAAACATTAGAATCCATATCAGAGATCAAGATTGTTCAATTTCTTCAAGTTAGGGAGTGACTAGAGACCAACCTCTGAATGAAGTGCAGTTTCCTCATCGCAAACATGTGTAGAATCCTGCACCATGGGGAATATGCTTGAATATAAGCAGGCTTGATTTTGACCCTTAAAGCAGTTAAACAGGAAAGAGCACACTGTACAAGCTGTTGTTGTATGTTGAATAATGAGCATAGACATATTCTGTTACTTATTGAATGTAGACATACTAAGAATTATAGGGATTCACAACAAATCTATAGGATTTCCTTTTTGATTATTTCTATAGTTAGGGCTCTATGTACTTGTATATATACTTGTTACCTCTTGACATAATATACATTGAATTTGCTCAATCCTCTATCTATTTTACATTGTACATTACCTGAGATGGAATATTCATGTCCAAATGGCTGTGCTGCTTCAAGCTCCCATCAATATTGGTAAGTAGCTGTGAAAACACATACATTGTCTTACCATTATAGGCTCAAACAAGTAAAAGAACTACAATAGACAAAAGCACCGTGTTTACCTGATCCCGCAAGTTAGAAATTTCAGCTAACAGAATTTCTCTCTCTCCTTCTTCATAAAAATCTTGAAATCTATATTCCCAACAAAGTTGATCATTATTGACGAATAAAAAGGAAATGAGCTTCAGCATTCGGTTATATTGAATTTCCGTTTGAACATTCTACCTCCGCAGTTGTTCCAAAAGCCTAATGTTTTCACATGCGAATCGAGTAACTTCTGGATTTCTATCAACCTTAGCTTGAAGAAACTGAATTTCTTCAGTAAGTGCACTGTTTTCCTCCAATAAATAATTATCTGCTGGTATTAGTCCATTGACAAGTGACTCCATCCTTTGAATTTTCTCTTCTCTGAACTTTACCATCATCTTATTGCACCTATTATCTTCCTCCCTTTGACGAACCTAAGAGATAAGTATAATAACAGTAGTATTCAGGAACAAAGTTAGTTATCTTATTGCAGTACTATTGCAAATGTCAAACCAAAACAAAGAAATGGGAGAGAGGCAAAAAAGTGAAAAGTGGGTCACCAGACGGTTAAGCTGCTCGATTTCAGCTTCAAGTTGTTTGATAGAAGTTTCGGCCATCTGCTCTCTCCTTAAAGCACCGGCTAGAGTGGTCTCTAGTGATTTCAACTGAAAAACAAAGAAATAAAAGCAAGAGGAATCATTGCTCAGCAGAGTAGATAATCACTTGGAAAGTGAGGTCTGATTATTTAGCCATGATGATGCAAGAATGTAAGAACACCAGATAGAGATGCAATAATCAGAGTGAACCAAGCTGGGACAAGCAAAGAAGCAGAGTCTGCTGGTTTTCAGATACTATGAAAAGTAACTATCTAATGAAGGTCTCGAGTTAAAATCAGAAAGAAGAAGAAAACAATGATTGAATAGGTATAGTTCCTCTCTTCCTGCACTCATACTTGTCAATTAGTCTCAATCAACCAGTCGGTTATATGAATCCTCTAGTCATTTCGCTCTGTTCAAGTCCATTTCATACTGATATTGAATAACTTGCCTTCTTACATAGAATTAGGAGTTCTCTGACCACAATTATCCTACACACCACACAGTTAATTAGTTTAATCCCAACTAGTTGGTATCTCCTATATGGATCCTTTACTCCCATTGCAGTTTATTCTTAACTAAGTTTCATTGATCCTGAGATATCTTAAATCTTTTAAAACAACTTTCCTCGATGTGATTTTAGGTACAACTCATCCTCTTTTATAACCTTCAATCATCACATTGTCACACCTATGAACCGATGTGTCTAAGAGGTCTATGTAGGACACAACAAAATTATCTCAAGCTACTTCCATTTTATCCTCCATGTGTGCTACTTGCACCATCTGTCATATATGATCACTTCTACTCTTATCTAATTATTTATGACCACATATTCATTTATATGACATTCATCTTCACTCCAAGATAATATAATTGGTCCCACAACAGTTCTATAGAACTTATTCACCTTGTGTCTCTCTATCACATAACACATCTAAACACTCTTCTGTTCATTCATCCTATTCTGTATCTTACTGCTACATCGTTGTCTATCAATTATCATGCTATTCTCATTGAAGACTTCTGAGTTGTAACACATTCTGCAACTTTAGACTTTGGTAAATGTAAAATGTAACTGAATTATAGTTTTCATGCTATTATTATTGTTCAGTATTTTGCACATCAGGAGGTGAGATAGCAGCATATGGGATGCTAACTTGAAAACTTATTGGAGGTGTTGAGTCATACTTTCGACTTGTAAACTTCATTCATGAAAGAAAAAGAAATGATATGAGATGACGAGCAACATCGAAAAGCAGTCTAAAAAGATATGGTATACCTGTTTGGAGGACAACCTTACAATGCCCTTGGCTTCCTTTGTAATTAAACTACCATGCTGATCTGTCTCAAGTTCCTTCTCAGCATAACTGCTGTCATCTTCCATTCTACAGTCTCCTGAAATAGTTGTTTGACCAAATGACAAAGCTCTAGATACATTTTGACGTTTCAAAGAAGAAAGCTCCTCCTGTGTTCAAAAATTCACCAATCTTTTCCATCAGGTTTTAAGCTCACGCTAACTTCTGCCATTGCAGAATAAATGTTTAAAAAGAGGTTTTCCACCTTTAGAAGTCTTATTTGATGTTTAAGAGCAGTGACATCTGCTGAAGAATCTTCATTGACGACAGCCTTCAGTTTGAAAAGGACAAAAGGAACAAAGTCAAACAATTGAGGCTGAATGTAGGTTCACCACTTTGTCATCAGCTATGTTATATGCTTACATTGTTCTGAATAAGTTTTGCTCGCTGAGCAAACTTCAATGTATTCAGTGTTTCAGCTGCACAACTGAGGAAAACAAATCAGCATAGTCCAATGACTTTTCACCTAAACTACTCAGCATAAGATTAAAAAAAACGGCTAAAATAACACCAACCAGATAGAAGGGCTGACATTGGCTATAATCATCGTTTTTGAGTTTCCACCCAGTGAATCCTGCATTTCAATACTATAAGAAGGATGCCGATATGCTCTGGTTTAAACACTGAGCAGAAAATGTATTTTAAAAGTTCACCTGAAGTAGAAATGTCAACCTCGAATCCCTGTAAGGAACATGCCTTGGCCTCCCATTGGCCACGTCCACCAGAACCATTATTACATGACTGCAGAAGGAAATGCTCTGTCAACTGAATGAAAAAGACCTAGGAGACGAGGCAAGGGTTATCAGGGAAAAATCATCAGGAAAAATACCCTAGAACTGATAAAGATCTATTGATGCTTGCAGCTTCCTTCAAACGTTCACCCTCAGCACCAGAAGTCTTTTGTCTGTAATAGGTAACGGCCACGTAAATGATATGTCTGAAATATTTGTTGTTCTTTCTTTCCTTAGCAATACATAACATTTTTGCTCTTATCCTTTACCTTTCTGAACCAGCAAGGTCAACAAGATTGAGCCTTGCAAAACGGAAGTTATCAGTAGAGTTCTTTTCCCACCTACTCTCAATTATACAGGTAAAGACACTGTGGGAGCGACTGCTTTCTCTGTTCATGTTTGTTGATGCTACTTTCCTGTTTAAAGAGCCCTGAAAGAAGTTTAATCAAATTCATGAGAAAGTTTTTATGCTACTTGCAAAAAATTGCATCATGTGTGTGCTACAAAAAGAGTAAGATATTATTGAAGAAACTCAAAACAGATATTGTCACCTGAGTCAAGAGCCTAAGAATGTCACCCACAGTTTGGACTTCAAATTCGGACAGATTTTCAACATACACACCTTTCGTGCTATCCTCTCGCAACTTCAAGAGAAAAGTATGAATGTGAACCAACAGCAGTACGTTGCATCTTATTTTCAGTTCAAGTTCAGATACGGGATAGACAAATTACCATTAAATTTGTGGATGAAGGATCAAGGAGATCGGTGATTTGTTCGTTATAAATCTCTAGAAAAGAACATTTGCAGCTGTATTGTAGTCTCTCATCCCTTCGACTTTCCTCTTCCTGAAAAATAGAAATCAAAAGTTAAGTTTACAGAAGCAATGACCTACAATTTCTTAATTAGAAGTTGTATTAAGAGAAAGCCATAAATATCCCACTTACTGCTCTTATCCTTGCAAACAAGAACTCAAATATACGCGGTGTCATTCCTCGGTTGGGGCTCGGCCTGATTTCCAGTTCTTCAATCTCACCAAGCATTGTATGTGTCTTCCCACTACCAGTCTGCAAGAAGAAGTTATATCTGAATGCACTACTAATTTTGACTTAACTTTAGAAGTAAAAACTGTGAGTGGACAATGAATCAAGAACAGATATCACTGCTTTGAGAACTAGAAAGATATATGGACAATAATAATCATAAATACAGGGTGTCCAGTTTCCTACTTGCCTTAGTATCTAAACATTCGCAGATACTTCAAAAGGAGTTGTGTTGAAAGTAACGATAACAGTCTTGCACTTAGGAGATTTGATTTCTTTGTTTTTTTTTTTTTGGAAGGGGTGGTGGTGGTGGATACTCAATATTCAATTGATCAAGTAACTGGCTAAATACAATCACATCCTGGTTCCTCGAACCACTAAAATGCCTGAGATATTCTACATCAATTTGCTGAGGCCAGGTTGAAAAATTCCTTACGAGTTGCCAGCAGACAATGAAACTCCATGAACCCCTTTTCCAGTCCCTTCTAAACATTTAGGTTAACTTTGTTTAAGCACTTGGAGTAACAACTTCTAACATTAGTCATGCACAAGTTCAAAAGCAGTGACCCTAATAGTTTTTCATCAAATATCATATGCCTCACCTGTCCATATGCAAAGATGGAGCTATTATATCCAGATAAACAGTTCTCCACCATTGGCAAACCAACCATTTTGAAAAGTGTTTCCTGCAAAATAAAATTGCATCATTTTCAGCATCTTATAGCACCCATTAATTGTTCTAAGTTGGATATTAATTATAGCAGACCTGGTTGATTGTTTCACATGCCACGTGATCAAATGTAAACCGAGTTTCAGGTTGCCCAATCCAGGTGATGCATTGTGCACTTTCCTGCTTCAAGCACCTATTGTACCCATTAGTACTTCTCTCCATGTTATTGAGAGGACGCATTCGTATCAAAACCTATAGTATTCAATGCAGTTTAGTACTTGATCACCAAAATGACAGGTTGACAAAATATATCCTGAGAAAATCCAAATCTGAAAGGCATGCTATAGAAGTCAGCGTACCTGTACATTGTGCTCCATCCAGAATGATGGATTTTCCTTGAGGTCAAAATGAGGAACTTCAACTGTATCAACAACAGTCAACGAATTACCACTGCTCGGTATTCCCCTATACAATGCTGCATAATTGGCCATCCGGGCACCTCCACTTGCTAAAGGCCTGGAACCACCAGCTAAACAAAATGAAGGAGTTGGAGGCTTAGTTACACTTTTAGATGGTGTGGTTTGATTAGAATGACTCTCTGAATAGCCAGAATTCGCCCTTCCTATCGTCCTCATGGACCGAGGAGTAGCATTGACTGCTCCAGCCCTCGATTGAACACCACATGTAGTTGCTTCATCCCCTGCTTCCACAGTACTCGAGCTGGAATCAGCTTTCTGCGTCCACCCATATCGACCTTTTGGTAAACCTATAGGCTTTTCTGGGGTTTTAGTGATATCAGAATATTGACTAGCCTTAGGTTTAGTTGGGGTCTTATCAATTTTAGTAACCCTAACACCCATTTGTTGATCTGCTCCGCCTTTCAAATTCCGGGTGGCTTCTTGAATTGTGTTTAAAGGTGGCCTTGTTGAGTCTGTACTGGTTTGAGGACCCATTGAATCCCTCGGATCCACTGGTACATTCTCAATTTCCTCAGCTCGAGCATTCTTGCCACTGTTCCGACGCAAGAATTTGAAGTCCCTCAACATTCTGTACCAACAAAATAGTTTTAAGATAAATGTGTTTTAATTCAAATACGACAATGACTGCTACACCTCAATCTTATACTAGTTGGTGTCATTTATATGAATCTTGAAAATTCATTAAGCTCCATTTGAACCCATTTCATTCCAATACACTTTATACTCACATATATAAAAATCTCCAAACAAACTAAGCAGAATAGGAATTTAATTCAAGAAACCTTAATTCTGTTAGCAACAAAAAGATTTAAGATAATTGTGTTCTAATTAAAAAACAACAATGACTACTACACCTCGATCCCAAACTAAGTTGGGTTCATCTATATGAATCTTAAATATCCCTTTGCTACATTTGAACCCGTTTTATTCCAATACACTTTATACTAACATACAAAAATCTCCCAAAAAAACTAAAAAGATAGGAATTTTAATTCAAAAAACCTTAAATTGTGTAAAGACTGCTGATTTAGTACCTGAAAGAAGCGTTGAAGAAGAGAATACCAAGTCCTCGAGAAGTTGAAATTGTAAGTCACTTTATTGGGTTATTTCAGCTTAATTTGGAATTTCAAGAATCTTGAAAACAAAAATCAAATCTTGAAGTGGCAACTCATTCTCGAGTAGAGAACCTCTCTGTCTCTCTCTCTCTCAGACACAAGACAATTTGTTGCAATTTTCATTCAAATGATCTCTCTCTCTCTCTCTCTCTCGAGCTGTCGGAGAGTGAAGTCTGTTGATTTCTTTATTTAAGATTTTCAAATATGAATCTGCAGGGGCAGAGATGGACGGCTAAGATTTGATCTAAGGTTTGAAATGCCGCTTTGGGTTTTGAAATAGGGAAGGGTTTATTCCGGAGAATTGAAGGAATAGGAGGGGAAGATTTTGAAAAATCATTATTTTACTAATGATTTCCAACGGCTACTATTTAAATTTTGTTATAGAGCGGTGGGCCTCCTTTTTTTCAAATTTATTCTTTTTTTGCCCTTCTTTTTTCCTTTAATTCACTTTGTTCCACAATTTCTTTTGGTTTTTTTACTCTACCAAGAATAATTGGGGGTGCCAAGATCAGTCATGGTTCTACTGCTAATTGGAATGGTGCTTCAAAGAAAAGAAATACTTTAAATGATTGAAAATGAATTATCTTGTTTTCTTTTATCTTGTTATTCATGAGTACTATTTGGATATATTATTGAGAGAATTAATCCGGACATTCGATTTGGTGTTTTTTCGTTTCATATTATTATAAAAAAGAAAAAATAACGACAACATAACATGTTTGGACCAGGTACTTTGCACTTAGTTATATTTAAAGTCGCACCAAATGGTAATTAACTTTCCCAAAAGAGAAAACTACAAAGATAAATTAAACTTAACATTTTCAATTTTAGGGCTATTAAAATAAGAATTGAACTTCAACATCTAAGCCCACAGTGGATACCTATGCCACCCATCAAAGTGCCCCACTGTCTCTTCTTCTATACTGCCTATGGAAATTTTCTCTAGTCAATCCTTTTACTTTAAAGGGTTTTTGTCATGAAAGATTTTATTTTTCATTTCCTTTTTTCCGTTTTTATTTTTACTTTCTGTAAATAAAGGAAGAGGTCAAAATGTAACGTTAGATTTGCGAGATTTAAGATTTAAAGTAGAAGTACTCAATTTACTTGATTTTAATGAAAATATTGAAAGATGATCGAGCACCATAAATTAATCCTATCACCATAAGACGATGACACAAGAATTTGAATGAATCATGCCACAAGAATCTTAATGAAGCATGCAAAACGTTGCCATAATCCTACACACAAGTTTGTGTGAAGCCACTTTATTTTTGACACGTCGGCTCATATGGGTCCCAACTCTTTCATTACAACAACTCTATTCTTTGTCTTTCGGTAGTTAGAGAAAATAATGCATGCATTACCTTTTGATATATTAATAATCTCTTGTTTGGTATAGTACTTTTTCAACTTGTGTATTACTAATGCAAGTATTATTTATACAACCTATTTGGTATTATCTTATGTACAACTAATACATATAGTGATCCAGTTTCTATTGCTAAGGCACCTATTGCACACGAAGGAACCCAAGACATTGATGGAGATAGTGATCAAGATCAAAATGATCATCATGATATAGATGTTATGGATGCTTCAGTTGATGAAGTTGTGGTTGATCAACAACCAATTCCTGCTCAGGTAACTACTTCGAATGCTCCTGAAACCTCTTTTAGAAGATCTACAAAGGAGAAGCAAAAATCCATGTGCTATCCTCCTGATGAGTATGTACTTTTGACTGACATGGGAGAACCTGAGAATTATGATGAAGCCATGCAAGTTACTCATAAAGATCAGTGGATCGAAGCCATGGAAGATGAGATGAAGTCACTCCATGAGAATGGCACATATGAGTTAGTGAAATTGCCGAAAGGTAAGAGAGCTTTATCTAACAAATGGATATTCAGAATAAAGCAAGATAACCATACCTTTGCATCTAGATACAAGGCGAGGTTAGTTGTTAAAGGTTTTGTCCAGAAGAAGGGAGTTGACTTTGATGAAATTTTCTCCCCTGTTGTGAAGATGCCTTCTATTCGTATGGTTCTAGGCTTAACTGCAACTCTAGATTTAGAGGTTGAGCAGATGGATGTCAAGACTGCTTTTCTTCATGGTGATTTAGATGAGGAGATCTATATGGAGCAATCTGAGGGTTTTGCAACTAAGGAAAAAGAAAATTATGTCTGCAAATTGAAAAAGAGCCAATATGGATTGAAAAAGCTCCAAGGCAATAGTATTTGAAGTTTGAATCTGTCATAGAAGAACAAGGGTACAAGAAAACTTCTTCAGACCACTGTGTATTCTTCCAGAAGTTCTCTGATGATGATTTTATTGTTTTATTGCTTTATGTGGATGACATGCTTATTGTTGGCAAGAATAAATCTAGAATTGCAGTCCTTAAGAAGCAGTTGAGCAAATCGTTTGCGATGAAGGACTTGGGGCCAGCAAAGAAAATCTTGGACATTCAAATACACCGACAGAGAGATAGAAAGGAGTTATTTCTATCCCCAAAGGAATACATTGAGAAGGTACTCAAAAGGTTCAATATGACATATGCAAAAGTGGTTAGTACTCCTCTTGCTAAACACTTCAAATTGAGTATTAGTCAGAGTCCATCTACTGATGAAGAGAAAAAGGAGATGTCTCGTATTCCTTACTCTTCTGCCATTGGTAGCTTGATGTATGCTATGGTTTTGTCACGACCCGGATTTTCCACCCTCGGGAGTCGTGATGACGCCTACTCGTGGAAGCTAGGTAAGCCGAGTGTTACAGATTTTATTACCCTTTTTCCTTAACCTTTAACATTTACAAGTCAATATGCGATTAACAGCGGAATAACAATAATAATAATAAATGCGGAAGACGAAATCTAATAATTTAACTTAATACAATTACGATCCCATAGAAATAATCCACCCAGAACTGGTGTCACAATCCCACGGACTATTTAAGAATACTACAAATAGGGTCTGAACTAAGAAAAATACATGTCTATCTCTGAAATAAGTAAGAATAGAAGGAAATAGGATAGATGGGGACGCCAAGGCCTGCGGACGTCTGCAAGACTACCTCGGGTCTCCGCTGGACCGAAGGCAGCAACATCATTGTGGTCCAAATGCTCCAGTACCGAGATCTGCATACAGTGCAGAGTGTAGTATCAGCACAACCGACCTCATGTGCTGGTAAGTGTCGAGCCTAACCTCAGCGAAGTAGTGACGAGGCTAGGACAAGACTACCAAATAAACCTGTGCAGTTAAATCATATACGGGCAAATAATAACAACAGAAACTAGCAGTTAAAGATGGGAAGGGGGAACATGCTGCGGGAATATCAAGTACTAACAGTATTTCAGTAGAGAAGCATAAAGAACACCATAATTTCATATCAGCAAGAATAAGGAAAACAGTAACAAGTGCACGACATCACCCATCATGCTTTTACTCTCGTTCTCACCATAAGAATCATTATTCACTTTTATTCTTTCTTGTTGCGGCGTGCAACCTGACCTCAATCATATAATACTGTTGCGGCGTGAAACCCGATCCAAATCATATAATGATGTTGCGGCGTGCAACCCGACCCCACCTTTCCACCCTTATTACTCATTGTTGCGGCGTGCAACCCGATCCCATATAATATTATTGCGGCGTGCAACCCGATCCCAATATACAAATCAACACCAATCACAAAAGAATCTCGGCAAGGGAACAATAGTATAACAATAATATCCCGGCAAGGAAAATAACATCATAAACAATAACATCCCGGCAAGGGAAACAATAACATAAACAATAACATCCAGGCAAGGGAAACAATATCATAAGCAATAACATCCCGGCAAGGGAAACATTATCATAAACAATAACATCCCGGCAAGGGAAACAATATCATAAACAATAACATCCCGGCAAGGGAAACAATAATATATCTCATCTCGTTTCCACAATCACTTCACAACATAAGTCTCAACTTGAGCCAATGCTCAACAATGGTCAATTACCAAGAATACTTTCATAAGCCTTGTTCAACATTTATAATCATCATATTAAGCATGGACAATACATAACAGAGTCACAACGATCATAATATAAGACTCACGGGCATTCTTGACACCAACGTATAAATACTCGTCACCACACCTATACGTCATACTCAACACTTAACATATAAAAAATAAGATCACAACTCCTATTCCCTTAAGCTAAGGTTAGACCAAACACTTACCTCGATTCCACGGACAAACTAAACCTCTACTACCGCTTTACCTCTCGGTTCCACTTCTAATTCGCTTGTATCTAGTCACAATTTATTTAATAACATTAATAAATGCTAAATAAACCAATTCTAATGCATGAAAATAGGTTTCCCAATGTTTTCCCCAAAAAGTCAAAACCCGACCCCGGGCCCACTTGGTCAAAACCCGAAGTTCGAACAAAAACTCGATCACCCATTCACCCACGAACTCAAATATATAATTAGTTTTGAAATCGGATCTCAAATCGAGGTCCAAATCCCTAAAATTTAAAAATCCTAACTTCTACCCAAATATACCCAATACCCCATGAAAAACCCTTGATTTTGAATTAAAATCATGTAAAAAGATGTTATAGATTGAAGAAAATAAGTTAGAAATTACTTACTAATGATTTGGAGAAGAATCTTTCTTTGGAAAATCGCCCAAGAGAGTTTAGGGTTTGAAAGAGTTCGAAAAATGGATGAAATCCGGTCAAAATCTCATTTAGCAAGTCTCAGATATCGCAATTGCGACCAGGGTTTGCAATTGCGAACCCCCTTGGAACCCTGTCATCTTCGCAATTGCGAATCATCGCATTTGCGATGGCCAGGCTTCGCAATTCCCACCCAATGCTCGCATTTGCGAAGAGGGCCTGCCCAGGCTCGGTTCGCATTTGCGACACTGGGGTCGCAATTCCCAACCCTGAGCACCTCGCATTTGCGAGGCCTGATCTCGCAATTGCGAGATCAGAGACCTGTTACACAGTTGCAATATACCAGCAATTTTTCCTAAGTTCAAAACACTCAGCGGCCTATCCGAAACTCACCCGAGCCCTCGGGGTTCCAAACCAAACATGCATGCAAGTTCAAAAATATCATACGGACTTGCTCGTGCGATCAAATCATCAAAATAACATCAACAACTATGAATTCAACCTCAAATTCATGAAATTACTCAAGAACATTGAAATTTCCATTTTCTCAACTAAAGGTCCGATTTATACCAAACA